CCACTGCGCCACCCAGGGATCCCTATGTGTTGTATTTAAAAGAAACACCAGAATGTCCTGCAAATCTTGAGATCAGCTCTACTCTTTTGGAACTTTTGTTACAGAATTATTGGAATATTAAATGAAAGAATGATATGATCAATAAAGGAAGGGCACAGAATACAAAAATAATGACCAAAAAAAAAGGAAGCCTAACTTAAAGTGAATGATATCAAATCCCTCTTTTCCCCTCTGAAATTCCCTTTGCTATTTAACATGTCTTTTTTAGTACATTTTCCCTAGTTGTCTTTTGTCTCCATCTTCCATCTTGTGCCCTGAAGAATTAGTAAAAAAAAAAACAAACATACATGTAAAAAGAATATCAAATCAATGGAATGGTGCCTCAGTGGGGCCCCAATAGCAAGTGGAAAAGAGGATCTCAGAAATTACATCCATAATCATGATGATTCCACACATAGGGTCATAGAATTTTAGAGCTGGAAAGAACCCTACAGCTTACCAATCCAAATTCCATTTCAAGGAGGTGAAATGATTTGTCTAAATTTACTCCCTCCTTTTAAAATTTCAGTCAGCCTTGCAGTTTTTCCAAGGTATTTTTTTTTCTTTTTTCCAAGGTATTGGTGAAAGGGTAGGATAGCTAAATAGCCAAAAGAGAATAATTTAGCATGGATGAGTCAACATGACTTCTGCATAAGAGATGATGTTTATTGGTGTCACCAGAGTTGTTTGAGGGGAGAAATAAGCATAATAAGGAGATTTAGAGAGAAAAACTATATTTAAACGCCCAAAAGTATTTTTGACAAATTTCCATATCAGACTATTTAAACAATCTCTATAAGAGAGTAGCTTGGAGAGAATTAAGGAGAAATCTGAGTAGTTAATAACTGACAAGAATCAATTCCTAATTCTGTTTTTTACTGAGTATCCTAGGTCAAATTATTTCACCTTACTTATGATCAGTTTCCCACAAATAATAGGAATAGTAATTTTATCTAACTCGCCAGGCTACTAAGAGGATTGAATAAGATAATAACACTTCATAATAAGAGCTAACATATGTTAAGTACTTATTATATGTCAGACACCGGTCTAAGTGTTTAACAAATATTATCTCACTTAATCCTCACAAGGCCCCAGTGAGGAAAAATACTGTTATTTTCTCCCCTCTTTAAAGATGAGAGAACTGAGGCATAGAGTGGTGAAGCAACTCATCCTGAATCATGAAGCTAGTTGTTGTAGAGTCAGGAATTGAACCAAGGAAGGCTAGTTCTAGAGCCCTTACTCTTGGCCAGTCAATCTCCTGACTCTTTTGCTATTAATATGCTCAAACCCCTTTCATGCACACCCTAAGTACATTATAATAAGGCCTTAATAAATGTTAGTTATTACTACTTTTATACTTTTTCCAGTAGAAGAAAACAGGAAGACCTACTATTGACTGAAGACTCATTTTAAACATAAGGCATTCTCTTTAAAACCAACCTGGAAAGGGATGCCTGGGTGGCTCAGCAGTTGAGCGCCTGCCTTTGGCCCAGGGCATGATCCTGGAGTCCCAGGATCGAGTCCCACATTGGGCTCCTTGCATGGAGCCTGCTTCTCCCTCTGCCTATGTCTCTGCTTCTCTCTCTCTGTGTCTCTCATGAATAAGTAAATAAAATCTTAAAAAAAAGAAAACCAACCTGGAAGGTCATAGACACCCAGACAGTTCCCATGTTCCAACTGTGGCCAGAAGCCAAGGTCAGAACTGAGATTCCAGGGAAAATAGTCTTGTTCTCAAGCACCTGTTCTTTTTACAACATCTTAGCCCATACTGTTACTTGAATTCACACTCTTCTTTGTTATTCCTATTCTATCCAAACCACACTTAGATGTATGAGTAGTTATATACAGAACACTTAAAGTATATATATATATATATGTATAATATCAATATTTTATTTGACTTATAAGTAAGCAATATTTAATAAAGAGGATTTGAACAGTAGCAAGGGCAAAATTTAGTAAGTTTCTAAAGAACAGAAACTGATGGCTTATATCCCCAGAGTCAACGCTGGAGCCAGGCAAGTTTCATGATTTACAACACAATGGGGCACACAAATACACATTAAATTTTACTAATTTTCAGCTGTCAGTAAGCTTTTCTGGGGGAAAAAAAGGACCAAGCCAATGATTTCAAATGGCAGGATCCCAAGAAGAACTGCTAGACAAAGAATCTATAGTCATTTTACATTATTTCCTGTAAAACATTGTCTGAAAAAGCTTTTGTACCAAAAATGAATGCAAAGTACCGTGAGGATGAGTGCTGGAAATATAAAGCATTATCCCATAGTACTGTACATCAGCATCAGAAATATTTTTTAATTCTAGTCACCATACCTCAAGGAAAACATAAGGCCATAAGGCAAGAAACCACCTAGGAAAAGGTAATTAAAATTACATAAAGATATGGAAAGTTGTCTGCCAGAAAATGGACAAAAAATATTAATACTTTGAAAACTAATAAAGTCAGGATGAAAATGGATAGGATAAACACAAACTTATTCATCAAAATCTACAATTTCAGAGACCAGCAAGTTGTCCTTGTTGTTATTATGAATGCTTCATAATGTATTTTCCAAGAGAGACGTGATCTCCCACAGCATCACCATATATTATCACAGTTAGGAAATTTAACAATAATTTTATTATCTAATGTAAATATAGATCCTAATTTCTCAAATATTCCAAAAAGTCCTTTATAGCTTGTTATTCTTTCTTGCCTTCCTTGCTTGTTGCTTCTTGCTTTTTCCCTCCCTTTCTTTCTTCCTTCCCTGTATTCTTGTTCTAATCCAAGTCCAACCAGATAGCTAACATTGCATTTACTTGGCATAACTCCCTAGTCTTCCTTAATATGATCAGCCAGCCTTTTTCATCTTTCTCATCATTGGTCGTTTTTTAAGAGTCCAGACAAATTATTTTGCAGAATGTTTCTCAATTTGAATTTCCTTGTTCCCTCATGATTAAAGTTTTTTGCAACAATACTACCTAAGTAATGTATCCTGTGAGCACTACTTAAAGCTTGAAAGAGAAGAGATTTAGGACCCATGAAATCTTACTGTACCCCCAACTTGTATTTGCTACTCCCAAATGAAGACAGGGGAAGTAACATTATTAGTCCAAAATACTTAAAATAGAAGTTCTTAATACATGGCCTTATGTTTTCCTTGAAGCATGGTTACTACCTCAAATCCATTAAGAGGTTAAGGGATGTTTCAAAAGACCTCTTTAACTTTTTGCAGGTAACATTACAGGGCCTAATATGCCTATATCTCTTGACATTACTTCCAAGAGCTGAATGCTGACTATGCTATGCTAGCTTGATCAAAGATGGCATTTTCTAATATCCCTCTTTTCACAAAACCAAATCCCAGTCTGTTAGGACTGTTTGCAAAGTTTATTCTAAATGCTCCTTTCAGAATGTATTTCTTTAAGAGATTTTTAAATCTTTGTGAGAAGAGAATTTATATATCAAGACTGGCTAACTCCAAGTTGCCTATATACATGGTGTCCGCAAGTGTATATTTCTTTTTTTTTTAAGTTTGTTTGATTTTAAGTAATCTCTATCCCCAACGTGAGGCTTGAACTCATGATCCCAAGATCAAGAGTTGCATGCTCTCCTGACTAAGCCAGCCAAGAACCTCAAATGTATATTTCACTAATTTATCTATCCCAAGTCCCTCAAACTTGAGCAAGGTATAAGATCCACATAACTGACAACAGATACAGAGAATCACTAGTTTTTTTTTAGAATTTCCAAACTGAAATTTACTTACCTTATTGTTTTGTGACAATATGGAATAAAATTAACATTGATTTTGGATGCAGAAAGAATTTAAACCATAACGCTGTTTCTTATTCTCCAGCTTCTTACTCACGTATAAATCATTTAACTTTTTAAAGTTGTATCCTCCACATTTGTAACATGGAAGTCATGGCACCTACCTTTCAGTGCTGTTGTAAGAATTAAATGTGGAAAAACAAAGAATTAAATGTGATAATCTCAAATTCCACTTGTTCATTGGTGGTATATAGGAAATAATATTTTATTGAAGATTGTGTCTATATTTATAAGTTTTATTTTTTTAATATCTTTGTCTAGTTTTGATAGGTGGGCTCATAAAAGGAGTTAAGAGGTATTCTTTCTGCTTTATTCTCTGAAAGAGATTTTAAAGAATTATTATAAATTCTTCCTTAAATATTTGGTAGAGTTCACCAGTGAACCCAGCTGGGCCTGGTGTTTTCTGTTTTGGAAAGTTATTAGTTATGGATTCAATTTCTTTACCAGATAGATACAGACCTATTCAGATTTTGTATTTCTTCTTATGTAAGTTTAGGAAAATTGTATCTTTGGAAGAATTGGTCCATTTCACCTAATTTGTCAAATTGTGGGCATAGAGTTGTTCATAGTATTCCTCTATTATATTTTTTTAATTATCCTTTTTAAAAAAAAGATTTATTTATTTTACAGAGAGAGAGAGAGAGAGAGAGAGTGTGTAGGGGGAGGGGCAGAGAGAGAGGGAGAGAGAATTTCACTGTCCGCTGGGTGTAGAGTCCAACACAGGACTTGATCTCACCATCCTGAGAGCCTGACTGAAGCTTATATCAAGAGTTGGACACTTAACCAAATGAGCCACCCAGATGCCCCCTCTATTATCCTTTTAATGTCCATAGGATCTGGTAGTGATGTCCCCTCTTTCATTTCTTATATTAATAATTTGTGTCCCATCTCTATTTATCTTTGTTAGTCTGGCTAGAAGTTGATCAATTTCATCGATCTTTTCAAAGCTCTAGCTTTTGGTTTTGTTGCTTTTTCTCCATTGATCTCCTGTTTTGATTTCTGCTCTTCTTCTTCTTTTTTTTTTTTTTTGGTAATTTATGACAATTTTAATTATGTTTTCTATTTTAATTCCAGTATAGTTAACATACAGTGTTATATTAGTTTCAAGTGTACAATATAGTGAAAAAATATGGAACACTTCATTAACTTGTGTGTCATCCTTGCACAAGGACCATGCTAATCTTCTTTGTGTCATTCCCATTTTTTTAAGTATACGGACTGCCGAAGTGAGCACTTTGCTCTAATTCTTATTACTTCTTTTCTTCTGCTTACTTTAGATTTAATTTCTTATCATTTTCTAGTTTCCTCGGTGTAAATTTAGATTATTGATTTTAGCTCTTTTATCTTTTTAAAAATATATGCATTAAATGCTATAAACTTCCCCCAAGCACTGCTTTCACTGCATCTCAAAGTTTTGATAAATTGTGCTTTTATTTTCATTTAATTAAAAATATTTAAATATTTCTCTTGATATTTCTTGTTTTATCTCTCTGCTGTTTAGAAATGTGTTGTTTAATCTTCACATATTTTGAAATTTTCCAATTACCTTTCTATTTTTGATTCCATTGTGATCTGAATGTAGGCATTGTTTGGTTTCTGTTATTTTAAATTAAGGTGTGTTTTATGGCCCAGAATGTGGTCTTTCTTGGTGAATGTTCCATGCAATCTTGAGAAGAATGTATATTCTGTTGTTGTTGGATGAAATAGTCTACAGCTGTCAGTTATATCCAGTTGATGGTGTTCACCTGTGTCTTTCTGATTTTCTGCTTGCTGTATATGTTCATTTTTGATAGGGAAGTCTCCAACAATGATAGTGGATTCATCTATTTCTCTTCTCAGTTCCATCGATTTTGCCTCATGCAATTTGACACTCTCTTGTTAGGTGAATACAAATTAAAGATTATTATACCTTCCTGAAATTAACCCTTTTGTCATTACATAATGACCAATCTTTATCTCTGATAACTTTCTTTGCTTTGATGTCTGCTCTGTTTGAAATTGATATAGCTATTCCTGTTCTCTTTTAATTACTGTTCACACTGTATATATTTCTCTATCCATTAACTTTTAATTTATATGTGTCTTTATATTTACAGTGTGTTTAGCGGACTGCTTATAGTTCTCTCCTGCTTCTTGATTCACTCTGACAATCTCTATCTTTTAATTGGTGCATTTAAACCATTGACATTTGAAATGATTATTGATACAGTTGGATTAATATCTACCATATTTGTTATTGTCTTCTATTTGTTGTCCTTGACCTTTGTTCCTATTTTTCTCTTCCACTTTTTCTGCCTTCTGTGGTTTTAATTGAATATTTTATATGGCACCACTTTCTCTCCTTTCTTAGCATATCAATTATATATATATTTTTTTATTTTTTCTCAGTGGTTGCCCTAGAGTTTGCAATATACATTCACAACTAATCCAAGTCCACTTTCAAAACACTGTGCCACTTCATGGGTATTGTGAGTACCTTATAATAATTAAATGATCTTAATTCCTCCCTCTTGTCCCTTGTATCATTGCTGTCATACATTTTACTTGTATATAAGCATACATAAGCATATATATGCATAACATATATACATAAGTATGCATAATCAAATACCTTTTTGCTATTATTATTTTTGATCATTATCTATTAGATCATTAGGAATAAGAAAAACAAAAGTTTTAATTTTATTTTCACTTATTTCCTCTATAGTGCTCTTCTTTTCTTTATGTAGATTTTAATTTCTAACCTGTATTATTTTCTTTCTCTCGAAAGAACTTCTTTTTAAACATTTATTGCAACTCTAGTTTACTGACAATAAATTACCTCAGTATCAATTTGTCTGAGGAAGTCTTTATTTCACCTTCACTTTTGAAGGATAATTTCACAGGATACAGATTTGCAAAAATTGATTTGTTTTCTGTTAGCACTTTTAAGTATTTCACTCTACTCTCTTATTGCATTGTTTCTGAGAAGTTGGATACAATTATTATCTTTTCCCCCTTATACATAATGTGTTTTATATCTGGCTTCTTGCAGGATTTTTTTCTTTATCTTTGATTTCCTATAGTTTGACAATGATATGTTAGGTGTAAGGTTCTGGGGGTTTATTCTTCTTGGTGTTCTCTGAGATTCCTGGATTTGTGGATTGGTGTTTGACAATAATTTGGGAAAAATTCTCAACCATTATTGTTTCAAATATCTCTTCTGTTCCATTCTCTCTTTCTTCTCCTTCTGGTATTCCCTTATACATTGTCATATTTTTTGTAGTTGTCTTATATTCTTTGGATATTCTATTATGTTTTTCTCAATCTTTATTCTCTTTGTTTTTCATTTTATTTTATTTATTTCAGAGAGAGAGAGAGCAGAAGCATGACCAAGGGAGGGGCAGAGGGAGAAACAGACTCTGCAGTGAGCAGGGAGCCCCATATGTGGCTCAAATTCAGGACTCTGGGATCATGACCTGAGCAGAAGGCAGATGCTTAACCAACTGAGCCACCCAGGCACTCTATGCTTTTCAGTTTTTGAGATTTCTATGAATGTATCATCAAACTCAGAGATTCTCTTCTCAACTACATCCAATGTACAGGTAAGTCCATCAAAAATATTGTTTGTTACATATTTTTTAAAATTTTTACTTATTTGAGAGAGAGAGGGAGTGGAGTGATAGTGATAGGGGCAGAGGGAGAGGGAGAGAGAGTTAAGCAGTCTCCCTGCTGGGTGTGGAACTCTATGTGGGGCTTGATCTTAGGACCCTGAGATCATGACTTTAGCTGAAATCGAGTCAGCTGCTTAACCAACTGCATTGCCCAGGTGTTCGTACATTTATTTTAAATCTCTAGCTTTCATTTTGGTTCTTAGATCCAAATTTCTCTCTCTCTGTTCACATTATCTACCTGTTCTTGCATTCTGTCTATTTTATTTATTGGAGCCCTTAGCATATTAATCATCATTGTTTAAAATTCCTGGTCTGATAATTCCAACACACCTGTTATGTCTGATTCTGATGCTTGCTGTTTCTTCAAGTTGTGGGGCTTTATGGTTTTGTTTTTGTTGCTGTTGTTGTGTTTGTTTGTTTTGCCTCTTAGTATGCTTTGTAATTTTTTTATTGATAGCCAGATGATGTCTGTCTGTAGGCAATAAGCTGGAACAGTCTGGGTGCTCATCTCATTTGTTTTCTGTATCATAAAATCATTGCCACTCATTCCCTGATATCCACTTCCTTGAAAACCAATGACTCATATATTTTATTCAGTTTTTTATTTGTTTTAGGCAGGAGGGTAAATCCAGCCCATGCAATTCCATTTTGGCTGAAAGCAGAAGTATATCCTTCCACTTATAAAATATTTATCTCACCAAATTTGACTAACTTATCTCTACATTATGCTTATTTTTTAGTAATATTTTAAAACTTTGACACTCTAAAAAAATGTGACTTTTCCCCAAGGGGAAAAAAGCTTTTCATTGTTGTATTCATCTTGGTGCTTGAGTCATATAATTTTTACCCATCAGCTTCATAAAAGGTCTTCAGTGTAAGCTATTGGGATCAATTTGACAGCAAGACTTTGTATGATGAATGCATTCCCTAATTGTGAAAAAGAAAGAAAGAAAGAAAGAAAAGAAAGAAAGAAAGAAAGAAAGAAAGAAAGAAAGAAAAAAACCTAAGCAAAAGATTAAACTGCTGTGCCTAATTCTTCTTTGCCACAGCACTGTTCTTTGCAAAAAAAAAAAAAAAAAAGGTTGGAAACTGGCCATGTTTTCTTTTGTGTCCATTTTGTTTTTTCCACCATGTTTAGTTGGGAAGTCATAAAAATATATTTTTTAACCTTTTAAAAGAGGAAAAATAGAATTTTTTCTACAATTATTTATGTAAAGCATACATCTGTCTGCCAAATCTACCATTAAATCAAGAGCTAAAATTTTAACATTAGACAAATTTAGGTTTGACTTCTTTGGGGCTGTCAGTGATGACAGAATGTCTAATACTTAGGGCTTATTCATTCCTTTTGTGTGCTTGTGTGTACCCTTCTGGGGTTTACTACTGTCAGAAAAGCTCCTGTCCTTTGCTATTCTATCTTCCAGCAAACATTATACATACTGGCAGGTGAGAATATCACATTATGAAAGTTATATAGACTTCAATGGCAGGGAAAAGGCTGTGTTCATGGCAAGTTCATGGCATATGCCATTGTGAAATAGTTTCTTAACCTGAGACCTGATAAATAGCAGCTTTGAAATCTATGAGCATTTTAAAATTGTATGCAGATATTTGTGTATGTGTTTATATTTTCTGTACATAGAATCCATAATTTTATTTATACTCAGAGTTTTTATTTTATTTTTTTTAGATTTTATTTATTTATTCATGAGAGACACAGAGAGAGAATGAGGCACAGACACAGGCAGAGGGATAAGCAGGCTCCATGCAGGGAGCTTGACGTGGGACTTGATCCAGGGTCTCCAGGACCACACCCTGGGCTGAAGGAGGCACTAAACCGCTGAGCCACCTGCACTGCCCCAAAGAGTTTTTAAATGATGAGTGCTTCATGTAGTTCTATTGCAAAGTAGAGCAAGAGAACAATCAGACCTACTGTCAAAGTACTATAGAATGACCCATAAAATTATTCTCTGAGAATAAATTAAGAATCTAGATCACTCAGGCCTCAAAGTGGACTTCTTTGGCCCAATGATCTTCTGCTACAACTGAAATTACAGCTCGTAGTTTAACACCAAGATAATCAGCTCATCTGGTGTCTTAGAAATGTAACAGGTTTGTATTTGATTTTTATTTTTTCTGTCATGTTAGAATCATATAAATAAATACACATTCAGATGAAACTTTTTTTTAAGTCTGTAAAATATTTCTAGGAAGCTGACATTAAAAGAAAAAGAAAGAAAAAGTTGCTTATCCACATGGTTAACTTTTTAAGTGAAAGCAATGAGGTATTAGTTTACTTATGTATATGCTAAATCATAAAGCAAGTTTGATAAAAATTAATTGTATTATATATCAAGAATTGAATGATTTTTAAAAATCATGTTATTCTTTCTCACAGTAAACCATGTCTTTGCTACTTTTCTCTGTCCAGTTAAGCAACACTAGATTTCAGAATGTAGGCTAGTCATTTTAATCCTTCTATAATAAATCAATCTATCATGTTTTCTATAAGGCAAGTGTTATTATTTCTATGTAGAAATATGTAACTCTAACAAACTAGAACTCCTAAAACAA